GGCCGCGGAGCTCTCATCGCAGGGCCCAGCGGTGCCTGACCCCCCATGAGAGGAAGGCCCGGGACCGCTGGCGGGCCCCGCAGCGGCACCATCGGCGGCGGTAGACCAGGTCCCGGAGGCCCTTGCGGACCCCCCGGCGGTGGCGGCGGTGCAGGCACTCCCGGAACCGGTGGCACTTGTGGAGGTGGTAGTACCGGCGGCGGAGCTTGCAGAGGTGGCGCAGGTGGTCCCTGTGCAGGTGGAACTTGCGGCTGCGGGGCATAATCTGCTAGAAAATTAGTCATTCGAATGTCCATCATCCCCGGTAACGCTTCCATCACATCGTGGACCGTGCGCATCAGATCTCTCACCGATTGTTCCAGCTCCTCCAGCCGTTCCCTTGTCGTTTCCTCCGGGATCGGCTCCCGTGGTTGGTATTCAGGAGGCGGCCCATAGTCTCCCTCCGTCTGGAAGTCGGCGGCTCCCTCTGAGGATCCTGCCCGGGCTCCCTCCCCCATCGGTTCAAACATCCAGTCTTCCACGTCTCTCCGATAACTCCCAGTCTCCCCCGAACTCCCGGAGTCGGGAAACATTCCTTTGTCGAAAAGACTTTCTCGAAGCCCACTGCCTCGACGGGAATACACCTCCCTGGTGCCTTGGGTGTTGTACAAAGCCCAATCATCCTGTGCTGGTGTCTTCCGCGCACCCCAATGCGAAGGGGTCGGTGGCGGCCAAGACAGGTATGCAGGCATTCGGGGAATCGCTCCCCCCACAGCGCCTTCCCCTGGTGCGGTAGTTGTAACAATCAACGGTGCGGAGGTAGTTGGGACCGATCCCGTGTCCCCCTCTGTGGTAGGTAGGTTTCCCTCAGACCCGCTCATGGTCTCACCAGAATCAGGACGATAGGAGAAAAGGAGTTCTAACAATATGTTGGATCCCCAAGCATCGAGAATAAATCCACGTTTCAAAGAAAGCAAAGTTTATTTCAAAGCATTGGAAAGATACTCAAACACGTTCTTTGTTAGAACTGGGGACCAGCAGTTAGGGCAGACATGATAAAGGGATTCAAGTTAGATACAGAACCAATGGATAACGTTCCCGCCGGCGGGCAGGAGAAAACGGTTGCTTGCTCAGATCTTGGGAACCAGGCAAACAGTAGACACAACACAGGTGCAGTTCTCAGGCTTGAGAAATAACAAGCTAGCAGCGAAGCATACTCTCCCCCTCACATCCTCCAGTTGTTTTACTTTGGCATTACAGCAGGCAAACACATAGGTCAGCTGGCAGGGACAGGGATCACATATGTACAACCAGAAGTCACACAGAACACCATGGCAGCTTGCTGACACAGAGCTCCTAGGCAGGAGTCTGAAGGGGATGAACAGAACCTGAGTGGTCATGAAAATGGAAGGCGGCTTTCAAGTACACGTGACACAACACGTCTTAGTCTTGGGCCGGTCAATTCAACTCCGTAGACCTGTGCAAACCCCCCCCCCCAGTGCCTCCTGGGAAGTTTATCTTTGGCCACTTTTTCTGAGATTCTAGTTGGAACATCGGTCAATTGCCTGGACCTAATTTCCACCCATCCTCCTTCCCAGTCTTTCTTTAAACTTTGCTAGCACGTGGGTTGGTTAACCGTTGTGACGTCTCCCGCAGAATGAAGCTGTCTGCGAAGAGCAAGCAAGCAAGCTTTAGAGTTGCACAGAATTTGTCAAGTATATTTTAAACCATGAGTTCAGACTTTGTTGTCATTTCACGCATCTCTCGTTCCTGACTAGGCAGTCTAACAACAGTTTAAACGCTGTTCAACCTACAAGAGATTATAGATAATTGCAGTGACCCCAGAATAGCATAATTGTTTGCTTCTGTCTACCATATTTGCTCCAAAGGAGAAGGAAATCCTGAATGTAAGATGGAACCCCCCCCCCAAAAAAAGGTTATACCCTGGAGGATTTTTGTTGTTGGACATAATTGTAATTTGTACGCACATTTAAAACAACCCCCCTACTTCCTTTTGATGGTGAAACTGGGGGGGGGGGGAGAGAGAAGCCTAGCCTTGCATTTGAATAGAGTCTTTACTGAAGGTGTCCGTCCTAATTTTCAAGCATTTTCCTTGCAGGTTTTCCCCAAGTTTGTGCCTTAGGGCCAGGACCAAGAGGTGGAGTTGGCGCGGGGAGAGAGGCTTCCCAGGTTGTTCTTGTCTCAGCCAATCTGTCCGGTTGGCCAGTGGAAGGGGCTTGTGAAGGGGGTCCTTTTTGGCAGGCACGGCCTGGCTTCTCGCACCCGCCCTCCTGACTCTGTTGGCTGAGAAAGCAACGAAGGAGGTGAAGCTCAGACTTGTGCCGGATGGAGAGCTCATTTACGGAAGTACAAATCCATGACATGAAACCAGGGAGCGTTCCAGCCGGCACCAGCTTGAGATTCACTTCTTCTTCGGCTGCTTGTTGGGTCAGCCCTTGTTTCCTTCCCGTTGGTACTGTGAGGCTTGACCAGTTGTCTTTAAGCTGTACTTCTTACCCCCGAAGGATTAGGAGAACTTGCTTTTTAAAACTGTCTTGATTTTTCTGTAAAGTCTGGACGATTTCCTTCAGGAAGCAAAGGCTGTTTTGAAGACAGTCATTCTAAAAGAATTTGCCCATAAATGGTCTTGCATGCGAAACTAAACCACTGTGCAGAGTGCATCCAAACCTCTATCTTACAATACTTCTTTTCTGCCAAAAAAATATGCTTCATTAAAGAGGATACCCTTTAACATGACTGGTGGAAGAGGAAGTAAGTATGGGCCTTCTTCATGGTTCTTTTCTCATCCCCTTGACTTCGGTTGTTGACGGATTCCCCCCCCCCCCCGTTTAAACTATGGATTCTCTCCATGGCCTTCATTCACCCAGAGAGCCTGTTAAATGTTCTCTGCTCATTTTTTAAGCAAATGCAGAACTTAAAACTATTTCATAAACCTGTCTCTAGATAACCTGCCTCCCACACACACTTTTGAGGAAGCTGTGTCGAATTTATCTGGGGATTGCATGGATGTAACCAGTGTTCCCTCTAAGCTGAGTCAGTGTGAGCTAGCTCATGATTTTTTTAGCCTCTGGCTCGCACATTTTTGTCTTAGCCCGGGAAGGATGGCTCCAGAGCAAACTAATTTAGGCAGTAGCCAAATCGCTCGCTCACAGCTTTAATGCCCAGGAGCTCACAAAGTAGAATTTTTGCTCACAGGACTCCACAGCTCAGAGGGAACATTGGATGTAACTGTATCAGCCGAGCAGCAGTTAAGAAAGAAAATGTTTATAAAGTGACCGTGGCTTGACTGTTGCTGCTGCTGTGGGGGGGGGACGGACGGACACGGACACACAACAAAATGGGAAACGACACACGTTTGGCTGGTTCCCCTCTGCCCCGGGGATGGGGGGGTGCTGTGTTTGCCCATGCCTCTCTCTTTCTAGGATGGGTTTTTGTGGCTGCAGTAACACTTCGCCCTCCTCTTTTTGTAGATGCCTCCAGTATGAGCTCCAGGGTACTGCAACAGACGGTTTTAAATCCTCTTTTGGATTTTTGTAGAGCAACATTGTGGCAAAACAATCGGGCACCGTCCCATTAACTTGATGCTAACAGAAACACCCCGACCAGCTTCGTTGCCTGCTGCTGACATCACTTCCTTCCCACTAACACGTCAGTAACCCATCAATAACCGTCATTGAGCGAATAGTCCTTCTGGTCACTCCCCTAATTCCTTGTGGCACATTGTCTTGCCTGCCTTCCTGCATCCTGTGTCGCTTTTAATTAACTGTCTTTACCACCGTTGGATCAAGGCCTTTTGGTGCCTGAGGCGGAAAATCCTCTCTTCCCACCTCCTGCCACTAAGGTGCCTGAGACACGGTTTGGAGGGACGTTCTTCCACACCAGCCTTACTGACATGAGTAGGAGCTCATTCCTGGATATTGCCTGGTTGCAGTCATGTTAGTGGGGCTCTGGGAGGAGAGCTTCCCAAAGAACGGTGCTCCGCGGATGGGATCTTGCCTGTCTCATAGCTGGCCCTCTTGAATAGCATCCACTGTTTGCCTTGGGCGACCGCCTCGCTTGACTTCTTCTGGCCCCTTTACATCTCTTAAGGGAACGGAAAACTGCTCCCCGGGCGGCGCTTGAGTGGCATCATCCACGTGTTCACCCCGCACCCTTCCATCAATCCTTGCTTGCTTCTTTTTGTGTCTCAGTGGTGCTATTGTCTTGCCAGACGAAAATGTTGTGGTGAAATTCCTGGTAGACTCGTAGAGGACCCTTAAGAGTGTGGCTCACGGGAAAATACAAACATCTCTTGGTATGCTTTCTAAGACTCTCCGTTTCTCTCCCTTAACAACTTTGTAGATTTTCAGACCAGGCGTCCTCCCACCCCCAACCCACCCCCAACTATCTTTCCGTTGCCTTCTAGACTGAGGAATGTACTAAACCAGCTCTCAGTTCTTGCTCTGGGGACCGGATCCTGCTTCTCGTACTAACTGTCCCTGTTTCTTCATCCCCCCATCCTGCTCCCCGCCTGCAAAGCCTGAAGTGACTGATGAGGTTAAGGAGGCCCCTGAGGCTGGTGTAGAGGTAGATCAGGAGGAGGAGGAGGAGGAGGAGGAGGAAGCAGATGTTGAATTCACTCTCCCCTCTGACATTGACGACGATTACGAGCCTGAGCTACTGTTAATGCCAACCAACCAGCCCGTTAACCAGCCCATTCTGGCCGCTGCTCAGTCTCTCCACCGGGAAGCCACCAAGTGGTCTAGTAAGGTACTTCCTCTGTTTCCTCCCTGGCAACTGATCCGCGGTGCATCCAGCCATTTTGGAACGTTGACACATTTGCATCACTCTTGATCTTTGCTGGGTCCCCATTTTCTTTCCTTTTCCTTTTCCTTTTCTTTTTTTCTTTTGGAGGGGGCGCCGGAATGAATTCCAGTTTATCTGCACTTCACTGTGTTGAGGATTTGAGATTGGCTTCACAAGTTCCTTTGGACCTGCTGATGGCCAGGCTAAATCTCCACTTGGCTCATGCCTGCCTTCCCTCATGCCTCTCCTCAAAGCTTCCTTTCCCCCCATTGTTGTTCTTTGCCTTACCTGTCTCTTCATGGCAGTGTGCTTTGTCTTTAAAAACAAAAGGAAAGAAAAATGGAACCAAAAGTTCAGCCGACCCGTGAAGCCATGGTTGACAGTCTCGCAATGACTTCCCTGATGGGGAGGGAGCCGTTGCCATTCACCCCCCAGAGTCATTTAACACACATAATCATGCTTGCTGCCTCTCATCAGTGGCTTCCACTAAACGGTACGGACAAGGAATGGCTTTGTATGGCAGCCTTGCCGAGGAGTTGGATCTGCTGATTTGCGCTGGGCTGTGTCGCAGAACGCTGGCCTTCAGGAGGGGGAGGGGGTTTTTGTCGAAAAGCTGTGCTGAACGTGTTCGTGGCTAAGTCCAGACTCTCTGCTTATTCTAAACAAAAATAAGACGATTCATTGGGGATTTTGGGTCCGTGGTTTGGTGGGAGGTGCGTCCCAAGGCTGAGAGCACTAAAACACCAACCAGAGGGTTTGCGCGGCTGCCGGTCACTTTGTCCCGCTTCTGGGATTGAGCATGCTGCAAGGAAATGTGTGTGGCTACACCGTGACTAAGGAGAGGTATGGATGTGTGAGAAAGGGGCGTTTTGTTGTTTGAACGAAACTAGTGTGTTTTCTTGTTTTTAATCTCATTGTTTTTCCAGGTCCTGAGGCAAGATTAATAGGTGCACTCAGTCATTTTATTGGGGCCACTCAAGACCTTTTGGTAGCAAAGCTACGTGTCCCCCCCCCATGCCTGTTAGTACAGGGCACAATCCACTGGCAGGTTCTCCCGGGGAGCTGTGAAAGAGCCCCCTGCCCGATGGCTTGTGACTCCCCTGAGTAGAGGCCCAGACCCGCCATCCCCCCTCCTTGCCTGTTGCCCCAGCCTTCTTTGCACAAACTATCCGAAGGGCTGCTTTACACACACTCCACAAAGCAGGAAATGCAGGTCTACCACCCTGGCTCCGTAGCACGTGGTAGATGATGACATGTGGGTTTGCGCATGCCATGTTGATGTGTATACCCTGAAAGTATGTTTGTGTGTGTAGCTGCTAGGCAAATGTGCGAAGAAGCCATTTGATGAGGATGTGGCCCTGGAGCGTGATTCTGCACCTGAACATGTCATCATGATGTGTTGTGTACGGTTTTCCATCCTTCCCACAACCACCCTCTGTGCTGCTTCGCTACCAAACACTTGGCTAATACTAGAATTGGAAGTCACAGCTCAAAACGTCAACGCTAACGGACAACAGGAAACCAAGCACTATACACAAAAACTTGGAAACGGTATAACAATATAGTCTTACAACAAGATAACTAGAATGTATATAAAGTGCAAAAAAATGGGTCCATCTACAATCATAATAGTGGTCGTTGTTGACGAAGTTCTCCGGAATGCCTGTTCGTTTCGTAAGGGCTTCATCTGAACGGAACCGTATTAACAATACCGTGCCTCTTGTTTCTTATGCATCATTGAATGAATTTACAACGTTCTTGTTATCTCAGACAATTTCATTAATTGTCCTGAAGTCCTTACGAAACGAACAGACATTCCGGAGAACTTCATCAACAACAACAACTATTATGGTTGTATATAGACCCCCTTTTTTGCACTTTATACACAAGGTCAAAGAAGACGGGGACGGCAAAGGATGAGATGGTTAGACAGTGTCATAGATGCAACGAACATGAAGTTGAGCAAACTTCAGAGGACAGCGGAAGACCGGAAGGCCTGGCGGGATCTGGTCCATGGGGTCGCGGAGAGTCGGACTCGACTGTGTGACTGAACAACAATAACAAAAGTTATCTTGTTGTAAGAATTTATTGTTACACCAAACACTTGGCTGCCTGACACAAGCCCGTAGCCACTTCTCCTGTGTTTAGCTGAGTCGGTGAATGTGTCACGCTAACTGAGTTTTGTTCACAAGAACAATGATACATCGAACAATTGCACTTGCATCTTTTGACAGCTAGAGTTTTTCAGATGCAGAAAGCTAGTTGAGGGTTTCTAAATATCTCATTAAATAATCTCCCAATGAGACAATTAAAACAGTTGCATTAAGGGTTCCACTAAATACTTGCAGTTAAAGAAGTCCAGGTTGCGGTTCTCCGGCAGGAATTCATGAACGCAGCCAGCAAAAGGGTTGGGGGGTGCTCCTGTTAGTCGGAGGCCACCCAACGGAAGAAACTTTAAGCAGATTAAGAGGGCAAGGTTTTGAACGAATCTCTTCAGTCTGCCTACATTTCCCATGTGAATAAAACAATTTTAAGAGGAATCTTTTCTGTAAGCCATGCCTCCCCTAAGCCAGCACCCTGCCACCGGCAGAATTAGCATTTTTTTAAAAAAAGTTGCTGTCTGCCTTTTTAATCCCCCCCCCCCCCGCCCGCATATTGTTTCCCCTTTTTGGGCACATTGGGTGAGAGCAGAAAAGATGTCCTTTCCCTGCCTGAAAGGGGCGCCTTGTTCTTGCTCACATTTGGATGTTAAGAACATTCACCATTGCAACTGGATGCTTTTAAACTTACTTCATGACACGCTTAGTTAAAAACAGAGACGTCTAACGAGTAGGAGTTAACAGTGTCTGAACTGAGTCACTTTCTCTTCAGCAACAAAACTAACCTTCTGTATGTCCACAATATATTTAGGTTTCCTTCTGGCCAGAGCTTGAGGCCACTGAGTCTGGGGAGAGAGAGAGAGAGAGAGAGGGAGTCACAAAGAGCCCTTTTGCCAAACTCTCCAGAGTTCTCTGAGGAGGAGCCTCCCCCACTCTGCAGGACGTCTTGTCTTTGCCTTCACAGAGCTCAGCTACAGGTTGGGGGGTGGGGGGGGTGGCGGTTTGGGCTGCCACTTCTGTCCTGAGCTTTCACGCCCCCCCTCCGATCTTTGCAGGGCAACGACATCATTGCTGCCGCCAAGCGGATGGCCCTCCTGATGGCCGAGATGTCCCGCTTGGTGAGAGGCGGCAGTGGGAACAAGCGGGCCCTGATCCAGTGTGCCAAGGACATCGCGAAGGCTTCGGACGAGGTGACCAGGCTGGCCAAGGAGGTGGCAAAGCAGTGCACCGACAAGCGCATCAGAACCAACCTTTTGCAGGTAGGCGGTGCCTTCTGAGACGCACGGAGGCGTTTGGGGCTCCGTTTCTTCAGTCCTGCTCCGCCCCCTCCTTTCATCCGCCTTGTCCCAGAATCCCCCCCCCCCGTCAGGCTTTTGCCCGCGTGAGGCTCGAATACCAGCCAAACGGACTATTTCCCATTCGCTCATAGAAGTCGGAGGGGGGGCTAGTTCTCTGAGTGACTGACCATTTTGTGCCACTGCTTCCACTTAGCCTGTTTTTTGGACAAATGTTTGCTGATGACTTTTGTTTTTGAATTATGGCTGTTTTAAAATTTGCATGGGCTGCAGGGTGGACGTGAACTGCTGCCGTTTACCTACTTTGTTCAGTTCATTCTGGGCCTTTGTTTTTATCATCTTGGTTTAGTTAATTTTTGTTTTACTGCTGCTATGTCATTATTGCTATTTTTGTTTACTCAAGTAAGGCTCTTGGGTGTTCATTTTTTGTCTTGTTTAGATGGGAGGAGAGGAGATAAATTTTTATAAATAATAAATAGAACTGTGGTGCTACAGTTTGGTTTTTTGCCACTGAAAGTTTTGCCAGGATTTGTTCCTGAAATTTCTGGAAGGCCTGGCGGTGAGTGAGTTTGCAGCCGGGAGAATGAAGTGCCCCAGTCATGCCTTTTGCTCTCCTGTGTGTACCTGCTTTGGGGGAACCAAAGCCCTCCGTGCTGAAGAGGGTTTTATTTAGAAGGTAGCCAAGCATGGAGTTTGAACAAGCTGATTCTTCTCTCCTCGCTCAGGTCTGCGAACGGATCCCAACCATCAGCACCCAGCTTAAAATCCTTTCCACCGTCAAAGCGACTATGTTGGGTCGGACTAACATCAGCGACGAGGAGTCTGAACAGGTAAATAAATACCTGGAGCGAAAGATGTGCTCCTGGCCTGGGAAATGGTGCTGGCATTGGGGGAAGTGGGGGGCTGCTGTCTCGGGAATGCCTGCGGGGGAGTGGATCTCTGTTAGCAGCAGCGGCTCCACCTGTAACCCTTTTAACAAGAGCAAAGCTGAAAAATTGGATTTCTGGCAGTTGTTCAGTCAGTTCTGTCCTACAATTGCTAGCATGAATGGTGAACAGTGGTGCTGGTTTCTAAGGGCCTCTTCACAAGCTACACTTTGTGCATGAGATCTGTGGTGTATTTTTGAGTGTATTCCTAAAAATGTACATATTTAAGTGCTGTCAAGTCATAACCGACTTAGGATGGCCCCATCAAGGGGCTTTCCAGGCAAGGGAGAAGCAGAGGTGGTTTGTCATCACGGCCTTTCTCTGCCTTGGTGGCCTGCCGTTCAAACACTGGCCCCGCTAAGCTGCCCTGATCTGACGAGGCCGAGCTAGACCATGGTGCGCCTTCCCTCCCCAAACGAAGTGGAGCAAATGGATGTGTTCAGAAACGAATGTATCACACCAGCCAGGAAGCCAAGATGAGCCGTGGGTATCTGTTGAAAGTGCCACTTGGTGGCAAATCTGATTGTGTGACACAACCAATGTTTCCACTTTATGGCACAAAGCAGGTCCTGGGTGGCTTCCTTGCTAAGGGGAGTTGCTATGATTTCTTCAAATGATTCATTGTCACCCTCTGGTGGCTAAAAAGTGCCTGGAAAGGGAACTCGTTTAAATTAAACAGAACCCACTGGTTCTCCTGGTCTTTGCTTGGAGCAGAATGTGGCAGGACCTGTCTAAATTTAATTCCCAAGTGTGAACGTTGCTGTTTCTTTGGTTTGGACAACGATCCAAACCTTCCTTAGGTGCAAGTTTTTGTCAGGTTGGCTTTCCATCCGCCAGGTGATATGGCAGCAGGCTCTGGCTCCCGGAGGGGACCTGTGCGTGGAAGGGAGATCCGCCAGTGGCCAGGACCAATGTTCCCTCTAAGCTGTGGAGTCTTGTGAGCAAAACTTCTATTTTGTGAGCTACTGGCATTAAAGTTGTGAGCGAGCAATTTGGCTGCTGCATACATTAGTTTGCTCTGGAGCCATCCTCCCTGAGCAAAGACAAAAATATGTGAGCCGGAGGCTAAAAGACTGTGAGCTAGCTCACACTAACTCAGCTTAGAGGGAACACTGGCCAGGACGCACCTTCGTCCAGTGGCACTGCGGAGTCTGGAGGCCTCCGATTCCTAGCTGTGGGGGCAAGTGGGGTGGCTGATTTCTGGCATCTTGGAAGCTTCTGGCTGGCCATTGTTGGAAACAAGTGCTAAATTAGATGGGCCCTTGAAACTGACCCAGGAGAGCAGTTCAGTCACTATTGCCTTTAAAAGACGCAATCAGCCTCTTCCTGGGCCATGGAGGCAGAAAGCCCATTGTGCTTCTGTGGGCAGATGAGGGACGAGGGGGCTTTACTCCCCACTGGATACACCTTCTCATCCACAAGGAGTGCAACCAACTGCACGTCACTTAGAACATTTAAGGGTTATATAAGCCTCATGAATAAGAACATCAGCAAGCGAAACATCTTCTTGTGGACCAAACGATATGGGAAGTGTTTTAATAAGCTGGGCTGACGTTCCCCAGACTTGACTTGGTTTCCCTCCAGCTGGGAACGGAGGGGAAAGGTGTGTTTAAAGTCCTTCCCCAGGTTCCTGATTGTGGGGTGTGTGTGTGGGGGTCCTGCCTTGCCCCCCCCCCGGCTGTTTTCCTGAACCAAAACAGCCCCAGCAGATAGTTATTTGCATTGTTTTGGAGCTGCATGTGTCTGGAGTACTTTAACCTCTAAAGTTACTCAAATAACTCTATGCAGGGACTGTTTCGGCTTGTAAAAATAGTGTGGAGGGGAAGGTGGGAGTTCCTGCTCACCCCACGCTTTCCCCACAGCTCCTGTGTGATGGCAGGGGAAGTGAGTTCAGTCTCGGAAAACCCAGCCCCAACTTACCCCAAAAATGCGTAGCTGGGCCCTTTTGGCATTTCCCAGGATTCCTGCAGTCCGACGTCCTTCCCATCTCCCACTGCCACTCGCCCCTTGGAGCAGAGCGGCAACTTCCAATGGAAACTCTGACGCAACGAGTAGCATTATCGCACGTGGCTTTGCACGAGGAGATGCTAAGACGAAGGGCCACTGTGCATCCGTCTGGACAGTTGCTTTGTCACACTTGTTTGGAAACGAAGGGCTGTCTAGACTGTCCGCGGGTATCCGAGAGCTTTGGGAGGCCGAGCAGCCAATCCCACAGAAAGCAAAACCTCCCTGACAAGAGGAGTGCCCTGGGTTGGCCCCGTCGCACCAGACCTCGGAGGCTCAGCAGGGCCGTCCCTGGTGTTGGGACCTGGACGGGAGACCACCGAGGAAGCCCAGGGCTGCTGTGCTGAGGCTGTCCAGCTCTTGCCTTGGAAACCCTGCAGGGTCGCCATGAAGCACCTGCGACTCAGCGGCAAAAAGAGAGACGTTTGGTGTCGTGTTTTGTGGCATTTTTGGTCGCTGCAGGATTGGGTTAAAAAGCATTCCGGTTCCGCCTGCTCTCGCTTCCTAGGGTGCCCCTGGGGAGGTGTGGGTTAGTTAGCACTCTTGGCGCTCAGGGCTTGTGCTGGAACACCGTCGGTCCCAGTCAGAAGCAAATACTGGCAGGATCTGTGCACCTGTAATGAAGGGAGATGCCCGCAGAAGGGGACGGACCAGCCGACTCGTCTCTTGCCTGAGCGACATCTGTCCCTAGGAAGAGGCCGGTCATTGGAAACGTCTGCACGCTTCTTCCAAAGCACCCATTTTGAAACAAATTAATCTTTTCCCTGCAGGCGACGGAGATGCTGGTCCACAACGCCCAGAACCTGATGCAGTCTGTTAAGGAGACTGTCCGAGAAGCTGAGGCGGCTTCTATCAAGATCAGAACGGATGCTGGATTCACTCTGCGCTGGGTCAGGAAAACTCCGTGGTACCAGTAGAGAGCGGCTGTCTGCTCCACCCCCACCACCCCCCAGCCCCCAAAGCATTGTCTTTTATACAATCCCTTTTGAAGCAGAGGAGAATTTTGTACTCGGTGAAAAGGTGCTGCAAAGATGGCGGCTCGCCTTCCGGAGCCCTTGGGAGGGGCCTTAACTCTGTGCCGAGCTCCCTTTTGTATCTAACCTCACCGCCATTTTTTTTTGTCTCCAAAAGGACTGCTACTCTTTCTCTCTTGCTTCTCTGAAGGCCTTTAAAAAAATCCTGTGTTTTCATGAACTCTAATTTCAGAATCACATTTCACCCCCTCCCCAATATGCCAATGGTTTCTACGCGAGGCAATAGATGCAGGTTTCAGTTTAGCATGGATTGAAATTCTGGGACACTCTCCGTTTGCGTAGCTCTTTTTATTGTGAGGGACAATCAGAAGACAAGAGAGTGCGGCGCTTCATTGTCTTCTGCTCCCTTTTCTAACTCTGAGTTGGTGTAACGCTAAATGAATTTCCTTCAAAAGCTTTGCCCCACTATGGGGGGAAAAGGTGGTTTGCCGAAAAGCTGCTGCTGCTGCTATAGGGATGGGGTGGGGTGGGGGGCAGGTAGAGACCCTAAGCCATCAAAAATTGGGATAATGTCGCCATAGCTGCCAGCAATTGGCAGAGCGCCTTGTGCGGAGAGCATTGCTGGTTTCAGAGGCAGAGCACAACCCCTGACCCCAATCCATCCCTCGGCGTAATTCAGTTCAAAAGAGCCAGAGAAGAAGAGTCTGGGTGCTTCCGCTTCTTCCCACCCGCCAGGCCGCCGACCAGTTGCCTTCTCTTTGCTTCCGAGGCCAGCAGGAAGAGTCTCCATTTTCAGGGAATTCTGCCACCCTGCTTGTTTCATTCTAGCAACAGAAAAGCCTGGGGCTGTGTATTCTCATCACTGTACCGAAAGCACACGAGGTCTTTCTGTGTAGGCTTTCAGACATAACTCTTCATGCAATTCCAGGCTATCCGTACTTTGTAGGGAAATCTTGCATGCGTGCAGCATAAACCCAGTGCTTTGGAGAACGGCATCGAATGTCAGATGGAATAATTTATTTCAATCATGTTCAGGATGCTGGTATTCGGAAGTGTGTTTGCTGCGAAGGTAGCATGTCTGTGCTTTAGCGTGCTTCAGGACAGACAGGCAGACGGTTGCCATTTGCGTAGAGTGTTACTTTGGGGATTCCCTTGCACCAGACACCCTCCTCCTGTACAAGCTCTGTTGACACTAACACTCAAAGCACATTTGCCTTAGGAGGGAGGCGTGTTACTTGCCCAGCACCATTACGTGCTGATGCTACAGCACCCTCTGTAGATCAAGACACTTTTGTGCAATGATTTCTGCTCAGCTGACGGCTACAAAAAACTCGTGAGCAAGTTGAAACCTGTTAGCTTCACTTTCCTGTGAGTTGCACTTTCTAGCCGGTAAAGATTCCCTGGACCATCAGCATTTGCCCTTCCCTTGGCCCGTGCAACTTAAAAGGGTACAGAAATAACTTTCTCGTCATTTCTACTACACTGAAGGAGCAGGTGGCGCTTGCTTTTCTCCCCGTCTCTCCCCTCTAGCCTCCTTCATTGCTCGTGGTTAGAGATGGCCACCTGTCTGGTACCTTCATTTCGCCTCTGGCAATAACTAGCCACAGCCGGCACAGGGAAGGGACCGTCTCTCGCCTGAACGCCCTCCCAACTTCTCGCCCCGGCCTCTTTCCCTCTCACGAGCGGCGTCATAACCCTTCTCATTGCTTGACTTTGTATTAATGCAATATTACTAATGCCTTTAAAATTATATGATGGTTTATGCCAAAGATTGTTTTCTTTTTGTTGAGGAATGTTTTGAGAGAAAGCTCTGAATCCAGGTTGCCTTGGATATTTCTTCAGAATGTGTGTTTAGCTCAACAATCTTTTATAGAAGGTAATATCCTCTACACCTTATGCAATTGTATGCTTTCCTGAACACTTGTGTTCATCAGAGACCTAAGATGAAACAAACTTGAATGTCTGGTAGGAACGTTTTTTGCCACTAAAATACCTTTGTTTATGAACAAGAAATTTTGTTGTATATGCTAATATTTTCAAACCTTCTTTGTTCTGTTCAAACAAAATAAAAATGCATTTGTATTAAAAAAATCTATTCAAACGCACTGTTTCCTGGGTTCAATGGAAAGATCAATTTAGTTTTTAAAAAATCATATATGTGAATGAACAGGGAAAAATACTCATGAGGCTTAGCACCCAGCCACATGCATCCAACTGTTGGGTGGTAAAAGGGAGAATGGCAGTTAGGAAGATACTTGTGGCAGGGAAAACCACACTTCTTTTAAGCCAAGCGTTGTTTCTCCTAGAAGTACTTCATTCTGGCAACAAGTTCTCAACAGTGTGACGGGTAGTAGACAACTTCAGACGCGACTGTAGATCAGTAGGGCGTCCAAAGCAGCCTGTATTAACTAGGGGTGTACACTTGGTGTATACCGAGCCACATGAATACCAAAAAACCCACCCCTTATTGGTATTTTTCGGGTCCTTATTCAGCCAAATCAGATTTTCAGCAGCGCGAGGTCACCCACCTTCTGGGTTGCGGGAAACCGTTCCAGCCCTTCCTTTCGCTCCCCTCCAGTGCTCTTTGGTTTCAATGAGAGGAAGTGGCATGACTGGGGATCCAGTACCCATCATCCCCTATGGGGAATGGCCCCCATCGGGGATGATGGAGCCAAATAAATTCGGCAATACAGATTATTTCCCGCATCCCGATACAATACCAATACTGGGATTCGGGAGTATCAGTATATACCGATATTTTCCAGGTTTTTGGTATTTGTGTGTGTGCGCACCCCTACTACTAAGTTGCTGTGAATGTCCAGGACACTGACCCCGCACGAAGCTGGAGAGGAGGGAACAACGGCGGCACGGACACTCACAGCAAGCGAGTGCGGACTGCCTCCTGCCCTCTGGATCAACAACCAGACGTGAAAAGCAATAAGGACTCAAAGGCATTCAGACGTTACATGTTAATTCAAGGGAACTTAAACATTTGCACTGCAGACAGTACACGGAGTATTTCTAGGAGTAACCCCACAGAGAAGAGAGCCCACAGATTCCAGTGGGCCTCCCGCGTGCTGAGCTGCAGGTAACAACCCAAACAGCGGACTGAACAGACAAGAGAGGCCACTTCTAGCGGAGTTCCCTTTTATTTCATTACAAACCAGCAACACAACCCTGTGCCGCTACTCTTGAGGTATCCACGGCACTGACGGACAACGGTGGGTGTGAGAAGAGACACTTTTAAAGTAGGGGGTACCGGCAAAATCCAAGCCCACTTCGATACCACTTTGCACCTGCCAAGAAAAGCAAGTCGGTAGACAAACTAGCGTTGGCTCCCGATTGTCTGCTGGACACACAAGAGGAAAGCAGGTAAGGCCCACACTTTGGCTTAGAAGGCAGAGTACGGTAAACAGTGCGGGGAGCCGCCTCCTCCTCCTCCTCTCCCACGAGGCCTTGCAAAGAGCCGTGTGGAGTGCGCCAACTTCTCCCGGGCTCTGGGCGCTCGTGTCTTCTGCAGTGCTGTCCAAGGGAGGGGCTTGCCAGATATTCCGCACCTTTCTTCTTGTGCTTTGGTAGGCTGCTTGGCAGTGTACAGTATTAGCTGGTTCTGCGGGCAGTTCTGGGGGTGTCGTGATGATTTCAAGAACCCGAGGATTCCACAGAAAGGAAACGGTGCTCCAGAAAGAACAACTCTAGTTCAAAGCCACAGACCGTGATGCATTAAGCTACCATGAGGCTTGAGGGGGCTACAGTGTGTGGGGATGAGGCAAATCAGAGCCCTCGTTCAATTGGCATCTAAGAGTGCATCGCTACAGAATCACATTTACCCTCCAACATACAAAAAACCCTCCACAAATCAAAGCCACACTCCCGTTTCCTGCCAGAAAAGCAGGGATCGTGTGCCTCAAGTTCGGACTTGGAATTTCCCCGCTTTTGTGATGTACTTCACGCCCTTGAAAGGCTTGTACTTCTCTCCGTACATGTCCAGGCGATTGACTTTCAGTCCTGGAGTGGGGGATACAGAAAGGATAAAAACATTTCTCAATACTTCTTCTCGAACTTGATGAGGAAGGAATGGAGAGATATCTATCCGAGGGACCAATTAAAAATTTGTATCTGAATACATAAGAATTTTGAACCGAGCAATAACAATACAAGAAATCACGAAGGTAAAAAAAGACTTTAAAAAGATAAAGCACCTTGCCAGATGGCTTGACAGCAACATATAAATGGCTTTGAAGACATAGTTTATCTTTATAGCCTTTGTGTAAATAATTTAATAGGCTACTTGTGATAATTTCATGCCAAGTAAAAATGGCCACAGTCATATCTTATGTTCCTAAAGTAAGAGAATGACTTTCAATCCGGAAAAGATAAAAGAAGTGCCAATGTAGCATTGTTTTCAATTCCCCCAAATATTTCCATTTTCCCGAGCTTCAGAATTTCCGGAAAAGTTACATCTCTAGTCCCACAGGTCACCCTCCCCCATCCACCCCTTGTGCCTCCCCTCCCATTGGTTGGGTGCCCCACCCCCTTCTAAGGGCCGTTCCAAGGCTCAGCCCTCCCTTCCTGCTGGGGCTCGGCGTCGGGGTTTCAGCCACGGTGTAGCTCAGAGTTGCCTGGGCTGCTTCGTGCCATCTCTCTGGGGCCAACGTCTCCCGTGCGGGTAAGGCTTTCCCCTGGGGCGGGTTTTCCAGCGAGCCTGGCCGTCTCTGGAGCCACATGGGTCGGGTCAGGTCCGGGCCACTCCACCGCCCCCTCCAGCCTCGGCACCCTCCTCGGGGCTCCCATCCACCGGGCCCATTTCCAACCTCGGGCCCATGGCGGCGCGTGGGCTGGGGAGCCACTTTCAGGCGCTTCCCGTGTCTCGGTGGGGCCAGGTGTGGTGGCGCAGCGGGGTGGTGCAGCGACACCGCTTCCCGTGGGCCCCCCCAGCTCGCCAGTCCCGCTCACCGGGCGGCAAGGCCGTGCTGTGGTGGGACACACGTCTCTTCCAGAAAGATGAGCCACTCACCCCAGAGGATTCCTCCCCCCTCTCCAAGCCACACAAACTCTAGATTAATCCTCAACCTTTTGGGTCTGCAGTGGAGTCTGGGAAGAGAACGGAGAATTCTGCAAAGCCCGAGGCATCCCAGGATCATGGCACTGGAAGGGGCCCCACAGGCCCTCTATCTAGTCCAGCCCCCTGCTCAACGCAGGACTAGCCGAGAGCCTCCCTGGCAAGCGTTTCTGCTGAAGGACTGCCAGGGAGGGGGAGCTCACCACCTCCCAAGGCCGCTGATCCCACTGTGGCACAACTCTTAACTGTAGAAAATGTTTCCCCTGAGATCCAGCCGGTACCTTCCCGCTCTTTATTGCGCGTCCTCTCCACTAAGAGGGTTCAAGGAAAACCCAGAAGAAGAATCAAATCTCCTAATCGCTACCCCATCCTGGCTGGCTTCACTGATTCACAAAGAGGACAATATACAACTCTCAGTAATAAAATTATATAGGCTTGGTAACCCAAACAAGCCCAACAGAAAATACCCAAGAGACATTTTGATTGAACTGGCAGACCTAAGAGAAAAAAAAATGCTATCATGAAGCTGGCTCGTGAACTAGGATATCTAACATTTCATGAGGCCAAAACCAGCGTCTTTCCTGACTTACCAGCGGAAGCCTTGAAAATACGACAACTAACTAAGAGAAATCACCTTGAAACTCGGAGAACATAAGATCCAATACCGATGGTCATCCCCAGGCCAAATGAGAGTTATACACCAAGGGAAACAGTACTTGGCTTCAGACAAAGACAGTGGACTTTACCTATTGAGATCCCTACAACTAGAAGAACCTATGGAAACTACAAAACCATCATTCAAAAGAAGAATACAATTTGAACTATCTCCACAAAAAGCCACAAAGATTCCGGTCTTTAATTCGGGAGCAAATAATCTCAGAAGATAAAAAGGACTGGGTAAATGCACGTCCTCTCCTCTGGTTGCCAGCGGGAACCGCTCCCTGCCCTCCTCCAAGCGACAGCCCTGCAGAGACTCGAAAAGAGCACTCGTGTCCCCCCCCCCGCCTCCTCTTCTGCAGACTGAACTTCCCCACGTCCCTTGGCCTTTCCTTGTAGCTCCTCCTCTGCACCCGCTCCGGGCCCGCGTGGCCCCTCTCGCCTCACCTGAAATGGCCAGCTGCTGGATCTTGAACTGAATGTTCAGGCTGGGGTTCTCTTCTGGCTTGGGGGCTCCAGACTGCAAGGTCACTGCTCCTTTAAGGCCGGGCAACTTCTGAGCGGTGATCTTGCCGACGTCCCACATTAGCACCTGAAACCACAACATTCGTATGGTGATTTCCCCAAACGTGCTCACTCCGGCAATCAGAAGTGTGTGTGTGTGTGGGGGAGTGTTATGCTAAGAATGAAAGATGTGCTTGGGAATGAAGGTATTTTGCTCTGGGACCCATCTGACACGTTTAGGAAAAAGTTTCACTCACGTGTCTTTGACTCAATCAACAGCACATTTTATTATAGGAACGGGTAAGCAACGGAAGCACCCGCACGCAACTAAACGGCTGCATGTGCTCCAGTCACATGGTTGTCACGGTTTGCATAAAGGTGAAGTACAAGCAAAACCAGAACACCACGAAATCAAAGTCTCGATGAGAAATGCAAGCCGGGAGCAATGCTACAGCAACAGCGGCAGCATTTGTAGAAGTGACAAACCAACATGCCAGTTTCAGCATTAAGAAGCAGGAGAGGCAGCTGGAAGCCACAGTCTCGTTATAGGCACACGGGGACTGGTTTGGAAAAAAGGATTCCAGCAACCTAGCCGGTTTCTTCCCAATCCAAACATGTTTAGAAAGAGGCCATCAATAGTATGTGCCGTCTGATGAACATCTGAACATGCATCTTGTGCATATTTGGGAAACGTGGAAGAAGTGATTCTGGAGGAAAGCCTTCCTTCAAAATGAACACTGAAAGTAAGTCCCCATGATCAGTTACACTTTGTCAGGATTGCTGAATGAACCAAATCCAGAAGTGTTCTTATTAAGACGGCGCTGACAACTTACACATCTAGAAGATGGAGCCTTATCCCCCACAAACCCCTAACCACAAGTCTAGACCAAGGGAAGGAGCCACCTCGGCCCAAACGCTGGAAACAGACTCCCTGCGGCTCTTGCAGCACTTTTCTGCGCCAAGTCCAGCCCTTGAGACCGGTCCCTTGTGCAGTGCCTGCAACTTAACACACAGTAGTGCTGAGCAGCTACTACGGATCAGGTACAGAGTCAGGAGGGAGGGCCGTGGCTCAGTGGGGAAGCCTCCGCTTGGAATGCAGAAGGTCCCAGGTATTGTAAACAGATCAGCCAGTATCATCATGCCCCTATATAAATCAATGGTGCGACCTCATTTGGAATACTGTGTGCAGTTCTGGTCACCACACCTCAAAAAGGATATTATAGCTCTGGAAAAAGTGCAGAAAAGGGCAATTCGAATGATAAAAGGGTTGGAACACTTTCTCTATGAGGAAAGGTTAAGGCGCTTAGGGCTCTTTAGCTTGGAGAAACGACGACTGAGGGGTGACATGATTGAGGTTTATAAGATTATGCATGGGATAGAGCAGGTAGAGAAAGAGGTACTTTTCTCCCTTTCGCACAATACAAGAACTCGTGGGCACTCCATGAAACTGCAGAGCGGTCGGGTTAGAACGGATAAAAGGAAGTACTTCTTCACCCAAAGAGTGATTGACACTTGGAATTCACTGCCACAGGAAGTGGTGGCGGCTACAAGCATGGACGGCTTCAAAAGGGAATTAGATAAGCATATGTAGCAGAGGTCCATCAGTGGCTTGAGCCACAAGGTATAGATAGGGGCTCCGGGGCAAGGGATGCTCTGTCTTCATGGTGCTCGGGGGGGTCAAGAGTGGGATGGCTTCTAGTGTCCTGGCCCCACTGGTGGACCTTCTGATGGCCCCTGGTATTTCTGGCCACTGTGTGATACAGTGTTGGACTGGATGGGCCTTTGGCCTGATCCAACATTGGCTTCTCTTATGTCTGGGGCAAGTGATGCTCTGTCATCTTGGTGCTTGGGGGGGATCAACAGTGGGAGGGCTTCTAGTGTCCTGGCCCCACTGGTGGACCTCCTGATGGCACTGGTAGTTTTTGGCCATTGTGTGACACAGAGTGTTGGACTGGATGGGCCTTTGGCCTGATCCAACATTGGTATCTCTTATGTTCTCATGTTCAATCCCTGGTGCCTCCAGCTAAAAGGATCAGGCAGGAGGTGATGGGAAAGACCTTTCTTTGCCTGAGACCCTGGAGAGCGGCTGCCAGTCTGAGCGGACAATGCTGACCTTCGTGGGCCAATTCAGTATCAGGAAGCTTCATGTGTTCGGATGCTCCCGGGCCTGTGCACTGTGTGCCCACCAAGAGGAACAAAGGTGTTCAAGCAAGGATGAAGCGGCTGTGAGTGCTGGCCTCTCCATGAACCCTTCCCCGTGGTACGCACCACCCTCCAAACGCCGTGGCCGCCATTCACTTCCAGAGGAAGAGCCCCTCTAACTAGGTGAAGGGGGCTGGGCCGGCCGCACCCTGAAGACCCCCGGGCGGCTGGAGGAGGACTCACCTTCGTGACGGGATCAAAAGTGTAGCTGCCTTGGGAGGCTGTCAGGTTCATATTGAGTACTGCTTTTGGCATGTGGACTGTCATGACAGCCCCTTCCACCGTCTTCCCCATGCTCTGCTTCGGTCCGATCGTGACATCAAACCTTCCACAAGAGGAGTTCTCTTTGAAAGTGATGGTGTGCTTCACGTACACGGGAATGGCAACCAAACTAGGAGGGAGGAAAGGAGAGCAGGGCTTTTTCCGAAGGAAAGCGGCAAACCTACGAGGTGCATCAAGTCCCGGCGGGCCACGCGACGTGGCTGTGGGCAGGCCTCCCCCCCCCCATGCAGTCAGAGCAGCTGGACGGTTCCGGAAGGCCACCCACCCGCTCAGGAATGCACTCAGCAGGATGAATCAAGCATCGGTCCACTGGAAGTGTCAGGTCTGCAGGACACACAAGTGAGTCGTCGTGCTAAGAGAAGCTGCTCCCTCACTTCCAGCAGCTGGAATCCAGTGGCCTACAGTGGCAAGCTGGGGGGGGGGAGGCGTGGACAAATCGTTCCGGAATCCCTTGTCCACAGGGGTGGGGCCTCAACAGACCAACTCACAGATGTGTGAGTGTGTACAAAGTGCTGTCAGATCACAGCCGACTTATGGGCAACCCCGTAAAGTTTTTAAGGCAAAAGAGACTAAGAGGGGTGGTTCGGCATTGCCTGCCTCTGAGTAGAGACTCTGGACTTCCTTAGTGGTCTCCAATCCAAATATTAACCAGGGCTAACCATGCTGAGCTTCCCAGACATGATGAGGCTGTGCTAGCGAGTCTCGGCTGTGCAACTCAGATTTGGGTAGAGATGTGAAGGCCCGGGAAAAAATCGGAAAAATTCGGGGAAAAAACGTTTCCCCCCGTTTTTTCCCTGAAGCCTTTTTTGTTTTTTCCCGAAAAATTGGAAAAATTGAAAAAAGAAAAGACAAGAAAAAAAATTGATTATGGAACGTTTTATTTTAACATGATGAATAAAATATTTTAAGACAAGGTGTTCAAATATTTTCCAAATCATTTCTAAAATATATATATATATGGTATCAGATTGATCTAATTTCTGTGCACTGAGGGCAAGCAAGTCCTAGGTTACAAACTGAACTCTCCAATGCAAGAACAAGATGCATTTCTTCCTTTAGGAGGTGCGATTTTGTCAGAAGAAAAGAAAAAGGTTTCAGTTTTGTTATCGCATGTGGGTGGGTATTCTGTTTGTAATAATTGTTTGGATACACTATATTTTTAATAGGCTAGTTGTGATTATTTCATGCCAAGTAAAAATGTCCATACTCATATTTTATGTTCCTAAAGTAACAGAATGACTTTCAATCTAGAAAAGACAAAAGAGATGCTAATGTAGCATTTTTTTTCAATTTTTCCGAAAATTTCCGTTTCCCCCCGGAAAAAAACTGGAAAAAAATCGGGGGGTTTTCTGAGCTTCAAACTTTCCGGAAATTTTACATCGCTAGGCTTGGGATGCTGAGGTTGGACAGAGGAATGAAGGCGCCAGCATAAAACAGCAACCAAACCACAGATCCTTCCTCCAACTGCAGACCCTGAGCCTGTGGGCAGAGATTCCGCTTTGTTTTGGCCTCTGAAAGTGTGCCTGTTTTTCCTGGCCCAAAGGCAACATTTAAGTCACCAAGAACCTCCTGACGGAAGCAACCGAAATTCCTTCTGGACACAGGGAGGAAGCAACGGGGGTGAGAGAGACAGCTGCGGACGGCATCCCAGCCAAGCGCCTGACCCTTGGAGACTTACTTTTGTGAACTGACCCGATAGGAAATCAGTCTGAAGTTTCCATCTGGAGGGATGAAGGAGAGGACTCTTTCCGACTCCCAGCGCTTGAACCGAATGCATGGGTGGAAGCTCACGTCATCGAGAAGCCTCGGGTTCTGTGGACCGGGAAAACACGGCAAGTTCTTTCCACCGAATAACAGCCCTGATGCTTGGTAACATGCTCGCCCCTGAAGGAAGAATCTATTCATTTACGTAAGAAGCCATTGGTGTGCCTGGATCGATGCTCGAGGTCTAGCTCAGTCTCATCTTTCACGAATCACAATAGTCTTGGAAGGACAGACCCCTCCTGCAGCGGAAGTCTGCTAGAAGACTGAATGAGTTTAACATGCTTTAAATGTTTATCACGTCATTCAATTATTGTTACATTATTTTGTCTATAAGCCTATGTAATATGTAGACTGCCCTGAATAAATGTTTAAAAAAACACCCAGACTTTAAAGAGCATTTTCGTGATTTAAGAGAAGAGAAGAAGAGGGGGGAAGCCAATCCGAATATCCAAATACGAATGAAGAATCTGTGCACATGGTTAAAAATATGAAGATACTATAAAGGAGGGAGGGGGGGGTAAAAGGATAGTACAATGATTTAATGTAAGAGTATGTATATAAGCTGCAATAATTATAATAATAAAAAAAATTTTAAAAAAGAGAAGAGAAGAAGAAGAGATTGGATGTATACCCCGCCCTTCACTACCCAAAGGTGTCTCAGAGCGGCTTACAAACTCCTTTCCCTCCCCCTCCCCACAACAAACACCCTGTGAGGTAGGCGGGGCTGAGAGAGTTCTTGACAGAAACTGCTCTTTTTCAAGGACAGCTCTTATCAGAACTATGGCTTGCCCAAGGTCATCCAGCCAGGTGCAAGTGGAGGAGTGGGGAATCAAACCCGCTTCTCCCAGATTAGAGTCCATGCACTTAACCACTAAGAAGAAGAAGAGGTTGGATTTATACCCCATGGCCCTTCACTACCCAAGGGAGTCTCAGAGCGGCCTACAAACTCCTTCCCCTTCCCCTCCCCACAACAGACACCCTGTAAGGTCGGTGGGGCTGAGAGAGCTCTTGACAGAAACTGCTCTTTTTCAAGGACAGCTGTGCTAGAGCTTGTGACTGACCCAAGGTCACATCAGCAGGTGCAAGTGGAGGAGTGGGGAATCAAACCCGGCTCTCCCAGATTAGAGTCCACCTGCACTTAACCACTGCACCAAACTGGCTTAATACACTCAGAGGCACAGCCTGCTCCACTGACAGCTTGAGACCTCCCCTTTCCCCCCATTAATTGTTCCAAAAAACACACACACACACAAAAAGAAAGGAAACACACAGTTAATGGGTAAAAGGGAACATTTTGAGATACATTTGAACCCGGGACTGTCAGATATCAAACAGATTTAGATTTGATTGCAAGAGGCGTTATTATTCTTTCTTCTTTTCTCCCGCCCACCCCCCTTCTTTAAATATAAATGATTGGCACAGATTATATGAACACGGCAGATTCTTTACTTTGATCTAAATTTGATATATGTTGTATTTCTTTATGTGTACATTACTTAAAAAGAACAAAGAAAGAAAACACACTCCCAAGTTCCCCTGTAAAAGGTAAAGGTCTCCCTTGCTCGAAAGCCAGACGAGTCCGACTCTAGGGTTGCGGTGCTCATCTCCGTTTCAAAGCCAAAGAGCCAGCGCTGTCCGAAGACGTTTCCGTGGTCATGTGGCCGGCATGACTAAACACCAAGGCGCACACCAAGGCACACGGAACGCTGTTCCCTTCCCACCGGAGTGATACCTATTTATCTACTTGCAATTTCTTGCTTTTGAACTGCCAGGTTGGCAGGAAAGTTCCCCTGAAGGCCTGCCAATTTAAGGCCAAAACTATCCGTCTGAGCTGTTTAGGCTCCAAACTCTCTGGCAAGCCAAAAGATGGGATTTGCACTCAGCTGTAGGCTAATGCTGACCACAGTGCAAAAGCTGCCGCGCTTGAGAAGCTCAGCTGACACACTACATTTCACCCAGGAGAGTTAAAGTTTCCCTTGGCAGCCTGAGCCGGGAGCTGCAACTCTGCCTGGGCGCACAACGAAGACAGATCCCTTGCCCGTCTCCCGCCAAAGGAGCCCCTGAGGGCAGCAGCCAACGTTAAGCACGCCCCCCCCCCAAAAAAATGGTGTCTCCCCCAAGACGAAATCCTGGGCCGGCCAAGGCAGAACAAGCACAGCAAACCAGAGCCCACAAGAGGTCTCCGAGAGCCGTTTGTTTTGCACACAGAGAGCCCAGCCAAAGCTTCATGGGCTACTCTACGGGGCGTCTCTACCAGAAGCACACACTTGTGTGGGAAGAAGAAGAGCTCCGTTTACCATGAAAGAAAGCGAGAGGTCAGGCATCCCCGAGAGCTTGATGCAGGCATCGATGACCCCTTGGATTTCCGCAAAGACAGTGGAGCCTGGAAGAGACAGTTGATTGAAACTACTTCCCGACTGCCTCGCAAGTCCAGAACAAGAGACAATAAAGTACAACGATAGATAAAGTACAACGAAACACCAAAAGATGAAAATCAAAAGCATCAAACAGCTCAAAATATTTAAAAGCAGTAATTATAAATCAAAAACTTACCTAAACACTAAACAGTCCGAAATACTAAAAGAAGCAATTAAGACTAAAAGCCCACAAAAACAACGGACAGGTCAAAATACAAAAAGTAGCAATTAAAACAAAACAAAAAAACACAAAAAGATCAGTCAGTGTTGATCACTTGGAGCTCTCCTGTAACTTACTGAAACTCTTTGCCCCCTTCCTTTCCTCCCCCTGCACTCTGCCTTCGGTCGGACTTCTGCTTCCTCAGTCTACGGTAAGGAAAGGTAAAGGTATCCCTTGCTCGAAAGCCAGTCAAATCTGACTCTAGGGATGCGGTGCTCATCTCCGTTTCCAAGCCGAAGAGCCAGCGCTGTCTGAAGACGTTTCCGTGGTCATGTGGCCGGCATGACTAAACGCCGAGGCGCACAGAATGCTGTTCCCTTCCCACCGAAGTGGTACCTAGTTATCTACTTGCAATGTCTTGCTTTTGAACTGCTCGGTTGGCGGGAGCTGGGGCCAGAGATGGGAGTTCACTCCGGCATGCGGCACTCGGGTCTCGAACTGCTGAACTACTGACCTTCTGGTCTGTAGTTCAGCGTCTTAACCACCTGAGCCACTGCAGCCCCTAAGTCTACAGTAGGGGCGTGCAAAAAAACCTGCCCCCGCTTTTCCTCCCCCTCCCTGAATTCCTCTGAAGCTCAGAGAGGAAAGAAGGCATGCGGGCTGGCTGGGGAAGCGAAAGGCAGGCATGGAAACATCCCTGGTTCCCTGCCTGCTCCTCTCCAGGCAGGGAATCCAGGCATTTATATTTATTTATATTTATTTATTTATATTTGAATTTATATCCTGCCCTACCCCGAAGGCTGGTGGCTCAAAGCTGTTGGGTTTAACTGACTCCTTGTATTCAGTGTAGCAGAATCAACCCCCCAAAAAGCCGGATAATATCGGCTTTTTCGGGTTCAGCATATGTGATACCCAAAAAATACTGATAAGGTCTTTCTCAGGTATATTTTTTTGGTTTGGCTACTGCTGAATGCACACCCCTAGTGTGCAGTTTTGTAAAAAAGGGATGCAGATTTTTCCAGTTGGCTCTTGGCTGCTAGAATTAATTTCAGTCACATCATAGCAGTCACCCAGAATAGCTTAAAGCTGCTACACCAATAAAGGGAATGCAGGAGAGAGGAGTTGTGTGGTGGTTACCAGCCACTAATAGCAGACTCTGCCCGGTCAAGCTGGGGCCCAAGGACCCCCACCCCTCAGCCCTTGGAAGACAACTGCAGTGCTTATTCGGCATCCCACCGTCTTCTCTCGGGTACCACTCTGGGGCAGGTCCAAGGCCTCTTTCTCCCTCTGAGATGCCCAATAAGATCAGCCAACTCGGGCCTCATCCTACCAAGAACTCACTTTCCCCCTCTCAGCCCTGTATCTAAAAAACTGTCGTCATCACCATCATCATCATGAGACCTATTTTGTAAATTTGAGTGAGCTAACAGCGACTGGACAACAACAACAGTGTGAAATTCTCTGAACACGCATTCACTCAACTCTCTCGTTCTCTCTGCTACTGAAGTATTTTATGGTTCGGTGAAAAGATTTGGATCTTTTCCAGCCCTGGCCTCCTCTCGCCCGGTTCCATCCCTCAAGAACAAAGCCCCCAGAGCTGCAGAATCACCCTACCAGACTTGTCTATGATGGCATCAATTTCTTCCACCACATCGAAGTAGGCCTCGTTGTTGGTGTACTTCACCCCCACTCTCCGCCAGGGAATGTTGGACAGCTGGCCCGTCGGAAGAGTGTCACCCACGTTGCTGCTGCCTTGGAGAAACAACGGGCAGACCAACAAAATCAGGAAAATACCGAAAGACGTGGACTGAGGCCAGGCTGTTACCTAGCCTGTCCCACGCACGCATTTTTAAATAGATAAATATCCAAAAACGGTCTTTTCCAAAGCCCTCACACAGAACTGCAGTTTGGAAAGAGTACAAAGAAGTCAGCCAAGAGAGATAAACTGCCAAAAATCTGAAGCCGTGGGAATAAAAAGCTGCTTTTCCCACTGGTTCTTTTTTTCCGGGGGGGGGGGGGGGGGGGCAGGATCTGTGCAATGCTTTCCTATCTATCTTATTTGACGGCTTTTAACAACATAATGCAGCATTTATAACTTAAGCATGTAAAACTGCACTATTTGGCATATTTGTGCAACTTAAAAGCATAAATGCCTTCGTTCTCAACAAACAAAACAGCAAAGCTACATGATACTCGAGAGATACCTGCTGCCACCTGAGCCTCAACACACAGGTCTTACTTTCTGCCATCTAAGAAAAGGGGTGGGGGAAGAAAAGGTGAAACTAGAAAACACATTTTGTGGCAAACAACAGCAACTGTATTTTTGGACAGAAATCATCTCATACAATCACAACAGGTCTAGAAGCATATTTGGGTATCAAGTTAAACTTTCGTGCAACAGACGGAGTACGTAAGGGCTTGCCGCTTCAAAAGACGAAGTGCTTCATAGGTGTCTCTTCCCTCAGTGCCCTCTCAATTCTCCCAACTGGAAACCAGTGGGGGAAGTTCCTGTATTTTTTCAGTCCCCCCCCCGCCAGCATCCACCCCCCCCCCCAAGTCCCTCTTTGGTTCCAAGCGTGGCCCTTAACTGCACAGGTGACAAGCGCCGCCACCCAAGTACCTGTGATGGAGTTCACAACAGAGCGCAGGATGGTGGGAGGTTTGATGAGCTCCTTCAGGATGTTGGATTCCGTCGCCAGCGGGAAGCCGTTGTCCAGCATCTCTTCCAGAAGCTCGTAGACAATGACAACATTGTCTTTAATGGCCGTCTCTGAACATTCTCCAAAGTAATCCTAGGCCAACCGGGAGATGTCAAAGAAGCAGTTTAGTTTGGTTAAGCACTGCCAGCACCCAAGAACTGTGGCTGTGGAAGGAATGCACCGGCAATGGCCGGGGCACGTGTCTCACAGCGTTGGCACTTTTTGAACCACATCTAGGATCTCCGGTTGAGATTAGTGGCTAGAAGTGCTGGGGAGGGGTCGCCCCGGGCCCTTTCCCTTGGCATTGCTGTTCACCTATGGAGCAGGCAGAAGCTTCTCAGTGGGGGATTCTCCCACCAGTGCCCCCCCCCAAGCCCACATCCAGCAGGGAGTCTCTCTTTCTTCCCTTCCCTTGGGAGATTCCCCATCTCCCCCCTGCTTTCTTCTTCCAGGGGTGTGTGTGTGTGTCACCCGGCCGTCCTCCAGACTGACCTGGAAGGTATCTGCCACCCGGTGAAGGAACTCGATGACAAAGAGAGGAGGCACCTCTGTCTGAATGACAGACACAAAAAAGATTTTATCCCGATAGATGCTGATGAGATAGTGGTGAGGCGTGGGGATGACGGGAGGGACATTTTCCACGTCGGCCGCTCTCTCCTGGGCTTCAAAGAAATAATCACACACAGATTGGCTGACCGCGCTCTTCCAGTGCTTCTCCAAGAATATGTCACCAGAACAGTTTATAAGGAACAGACTGTGGATCATCTTCTGTGGGAGACACAGCCACACGGGTCGTTAGGCACCACACAAGCCGTCGGGACACACACACACACACACGATGAAGCGGCCCCCGACTGAATCAGACCACCGCTGGTCCATCCCGGCTACCGCTTTCTGTCCCGACTGGCCGTGGCTACAGGGCCTCAGGCAGAGGCCGGGTCCTTTGAGTCACCAGTGTTCCCTCTCAGCTGAGTGAGTGTGAGCTAGCTCACAGCTTTTTAGCCTCCGGCTCACACATTTTTGTCTCAGCTCAGGAAGGAGGGCTCCAGAACACACTAATTTATGCCATAGCCACATTACTGGCTCACAACTTTCATGCCAGTAGCTCACAAAGTAGGATTTTTGCTCACAAGACTCCACAGCTTAGCGGGAGCATTGCCTGCCAGGTGTGACAGACAGAACCCGGTTTGGATGCAACAGCCACGCCATGGGCTCAACCCCCCTCTCTATGCCCCCCAATTGCACTTTCTGGCTTTGAACGGATCCTTGATGGAAATCCCATCTTCACTCCCTCTTCTTTTCCCTCTGCTCCTCCCCAATTGCCCAATCAGCTATCTAGCTGCTGACCCCCCCTTAAAGACTTTTAATACGATCTTGGAAACTAAGAAGGGTCAGCCCTGGCCAGCCCTTGGATGGAGCAGCGGGGGCCCCACGCTAAGGCAGGCGCCGGCAAACCACCTCTGCACCATGTCTCTTGCCTCGAAAACCCCGCCGGGGGGGGGGGCATAAGTCGGCTGTGACTCAAGGGCGCTTTCCACCAGCAATCATGGGCCACTGGTTTGTCCCCATCCCCTTTATTTTAAAAAAGCTGTTTTGAGGGGTTACACGTCTATACTTTTGCCAAGAGAGAGATCCCAGCCCTGCCCGGGTATCTGCTGATCGACGCTTGAAGGCTGCCGATCACTAGTCTTTGTTGTTGTTCAGTCGCACAGTCGGGTCCGACTCTCCGCGACCCCATGGACCAGCTCCCACCAGGCCTTCCAGTCTTCCGCCGTCCTCTGGAGTTGGCTGAATTTCATGCTCGTTGCATCTATGACACTGTCTAACCATCTCATCCTTTGCCGTCCCCGTCTTCTTTGACCTTCAAAGTCTTTATACGGAGTCTTTATACACTAGTCTTTACACAGAGGCAAACTGTAATTTGCCCGAACCAGCAGACAGTCAAAATGCCTGAAGGGAGAAGGGAACCTCTCTGGCATGGGGGCCCTCCACGGCTCACAGACAGCCACAGTCAAAGCCGCCGTCGCGCCAAAGAACCACCTTTCCTTCCCTCCCCAGCGTGAGGCTGACATCTCCAGGAGCCTGGTGGTGGTTTCCCCATCCCTCTCGTGGCAACTGTCCCGGGGCGTGCCCCAACTGCCAGCCACAGTCCCGACCATGCAGTGGCCTCAACGACTTTCCTGGAACATGTGGCAAGTGCCCCACTTGAGAGCAGTGTCAGAAGAGCCACTGGTGGCATGACAAAGAGCTACACGTGGCTCCCAAGCCAAGGAGTATCACTGCTCTGGTTCCTTCCTGATCGGTGGATTAGAAGAATAGAAATGTTATTGCTGAGGACTCGCCTCAGACGTCCCCTGAATCGACAACATGGGGCAGGCACTCGAAGAGATACCCCCCCTCCAATTCTTAACTAGAATCTGGATTCCAACTACTATTCTTTTGAATAATTGAGCCAGAAGTCTTGGGGGAAAGTCATGATTTGCATTAAAAAATACTTTACTGTACTTCATTACAACTTGCATCTCAGCACGCTGACTTGGGAGTAAGCCCTACTGAAGTCAAGTCAGAGCAAACAGCATTCCTGCCACAGGGAACACCCCTTGCCCCCGCCAAGATGTAACAAAGAGTTGCAAATTGCTTCCTTTGCTTCAGTATCGTGAATAACTTCCTCTCCCTGCCTGGCTGGCTGCCCTCTGTAAGCCTCTGAGCCAGCCCATCCCGGCCTTTCTGTCTGCTGCTTTGAAAACAAGCTCATTCAGTACTGAAAAGAACACCGTAACGCCAGCCAGCTTTATTAAGACTGGTCAACATATTCTGTCGTTTCTGGAGCCCTTCAATATGCTTCCTGTGTGGCTGTGGTCCAGACAATAAACCTCCTACCCGGACAACAGTCTCCACAGCACAGTTCCCTCTAGCACGCGTACGGTGCGCAATGTGCGTGCATTTTGACATATTTACGCAGAGCTTCTCAGATCTGCACACAGGCGCTTCCTCTAGGCCGGCCCCACCCCCACCCTGCTCACCAGATGCCTACGGGGGGGGGGAGGGCACGATGAAAGGGGGAGCTGGAGCCAGGCTGCCTGTGCCGGCCAGCTGAGCCAGGAAAGGTAAGCCGTGGGGCCGGGTTGGGAAGGGGGCTCGCTT